GGTTGTTATAGTACCAGCCACAGCAGTGATCCAGGCCACGGAGCAGGTGTGGTGTAGGAACTCCGAAGTTCTCTACAAGAATATGTGCACCCATAATAGTGCAGCGAATTAGGAAAAAAAGTACGAGAACCGGCGTCGTTTATCTCAGTCAACAAAAATGGCAGCACATCTGAAGCGTTTGCGAACCAGATTTACAAATAAACTACTGCTTTGCTGAACATTTAGGAACAGCCATTCACAACCGTGAAGGCAGACATTCGCCTTACTGAGACAAACAACTTCAATGCCTGTTTGTGGAGTGACTCCACAGTCACTCTACAATCTGTGTAACGCAGCATTGCACACAAACTATAAACTGTGTTGAGAAAAAATGTTCGACGATACAGAGTACAATGTAGTCTATTACAGAAAAGCACTAAGATGTCCCGAGCCAGGAAAATACGATCATCATCCGATACAACAACGTGACACGGTTAAGAAAAAGTTGTTAATAATTTAGAGTACAATTAAGGTACTCTGTTATGAGAGAGCTATGAGAGAGGTACTCTGCTTTGAAGCCCTGCCGACAAATCTTACACCGTGAACGAGTTCACAGCATCAGGTAATCTACTGCCGGGTGCTCATGGGAAAGTACCTTCTATGTTACACGCCAACATCCGTCTGCCCGCCTCTTTGTGTTCAGGTATGGTACAAACCCACAAATATGTCGCTCGTTTCCTTTCAGAAACTTGAATATCCTTGTATTCGTTATTTTTACATTGTCGCTTAGTTAAACATAATGGTAGCAACAGTAACGTTGAATCGTTAATTATTTATGCATGTAGTGTTTATATTCGCTGACAAAGGGCACTTGAACAATCGAAGCCTTCAAGACAGCCCAATCGCGTTTCAAACGCCTTGCCCTGAGGCAGCGCGTTCACCGCGTTCACCACGTTGCCTTGTGGCAAATCAAACTGAAAAGCTTTTCTCAATAGGTGGAAGCTTGGCTGCTTTTAAAAATTAAATTGTTACTATTCTGACATAAAATTACTTACTATCGAAAATTCGCGAAGTCCCCTTGACAGAAGCACCAAAGAAGCGTCTCTAGATGCTCCTTTATGGTCCGAAGTGTCAGCTCTAAACCGTTTCATGGAACTTCACCTCACATGCCGAAATTCTCGAAGGGATTGGCTGTGACGACTTCTCCGGGGGAGGCACAGATCATTGTGTGTCCTGAAGTGTCATCGGTGCTTGCCGAACAATCACTGCGTCGCTTGAGCAGCGTGGTCCAGCAGCACAAGAGGCTGCCATTTTGGGCGTTTCCCCTCGCGTCACGTGATCCTTCGCTCGTTACGACGGCCCGCTCACACGCTCAGCGCCTGACCATCTAGCGCGCGCGCAGTGGCACAACCGCCGACTGGCTGAGCGGAGCGGGAGGCAAAATACGGTTAGCTAAAGGTGCCTTGCCTTTCATGATGGGCAGACGCGCTGGCAAGCGATTCCATGGAAAGCAGTTCATCGAAGCGTCCCAAGAATGTGGATTTTCCCGATACCAAACACTATACCAAACGCTATAGATGCACAGAAGGAGGAGGAGGAGGAGGATGAGGAGGAGGAGGATGAGGAGGAGGAATAAACTTTATTTTAAGAAACCAGCAGGTTTATGTGGCCGGGCCTTGGCCTCCTAAACCCAGCACGCCCGTGAAGTGGCGTGCTGGGTCGCCCAGGTTTGGTCGTCAAGAGCGGGGCTCCGCCGAGCCTCACGGAGCTTCGACGAAAGTGTCGTGGTGTTCGTGTGTCTGTATACTGTGCGGGCACTCCCACAGCATATGCGGAAGCGTAGCCAGATGAGTGCCACAGTACTGGCAGTGGGAGGTTGTGTACACGTCCGTGAATATGAAGTGAAGGCGGAAAGGCGAGATATATGTGTTTGTGTGAAGTAGACGCAAAGTGGTGGCCTGTGCCCGGTTGAGCCTGGGGCGATGTGAGGGAAAAGCTCGTCATCTGAGGTAAAAATTCTTAACGAGATTATTGTAGGTAGTCAGGTTGTACATGGTGTACACCTCGTCTACAGTCTATAGCTCCAGCGCGGTTGACAAGGCCTCACGCAAGCAAGTGGGTGACCTCGTTGTGGTTGGGGAGGCATGGGTGGACTGGGCCCGCGTGGGCGGGGATCCATGTCAGGGTGATAATGTAGTCTTTGGTGTGTGATGCCGGGCAGAGGATGCGAAGCGCTTGAGGAGAAATGCGGCCTTTGCTGTAAATAGTGACGGCTGAGCGAGAGTCGTATACGATGGTGTCACAGGTGGGATCTAGAGTGGCCAGGGCGATGGTCACCTTTTCAGCCGTCTCGGCAGAAGTAGTGACGCTGGTTGCATGGTGTAGGACTCCATTGCGTGTGGTGACAGCTACAAAATGTGTGGCTGCAGGATATATAGATGCAAAGAAATAAAAAGTAAACACATGGTGCATTCGTTCTAATGACCACGGGCTTTCGCCGAACACGCTCAAATTCACAAAGTTTCCTTCAGGTTTTTGTGAGCAAGCATATTTGGACAAAGTGCTCTGCGTAAGACAGTACACAGTCCCAACATTTTTTTTAACAGCACAGCTGTACATGGCTAGTTTTTGGCAAATGGTGTCCGCGGAAGAAAATGACTTGGTGGAGAAATACAATTTTTGCAGACCATCACCTCCTCCCCAACGCGTTTGCATTTGCCCAAGCAATGAACAGGGGCCAAGACGCCTTGATGCCGCTGTCGCAGTTACGGCAGCTGTAGCTCCAGGCTTCCATCTCCACATTACCGGAAGGGATGCCAAATCTTTTACAACAAAAGCCCGAGATGGTTGCACGAATTACCTCGGACGCTCAACATCGGGCCAAATTAAGCTCACTGGATTCGGAACCAATTGGGAACGCTTTAGAGTACCTAACGCCCACTACTATGGCAGAGCTGTAATCTGTCCCGGTTGCGCACTTCATAAAGGAGCTCTACACGACTACAAGACAAAGTGTAGTTGTCATATTGTTATACATAGATAACTTAACGCACCAAGTACTACTTCTACACTTTTGAAGAAGTCACAAGAAACTGCTCACAATTTCCTGCTTATACCCCCAATTGGAAGTGATTCCGTTAGATGATCCTCTTGGAAATATTGTTGACCACTATTTGAAGCTTCGCGGTCATATTTCTTGTGTGGTAAATCATACCGGTTGTGGTCGTACATTTCGTGCGAAATTTGGACACTGGTAAGCTAAAAAAAATTCGGCAGGCCCCACTTACCTTGGGAATCGATGTTATACGAAGCATGCGGATGAAATGTGAATGTGTTTTATAAACTTTTTATTGAGCGAGACGTTATGAAGTGGCTCTAAAGATATATGAAATGCACGCACACTCATACGTTAAACAGCCGCATGTGTTTTATATTAGCAGTTGTTTACAGTTGCGCAATGATGCCAACATAGACATAGATATTAACAACACCAAAAGCGGTAAGCTGATATGAAGCGCTGGTGTTGACACTGGTGTGCGAGAGCATGGCAGCCCTAAACACTGCTCAACAGATCAAATTCAGCGGATGGCACCTAACTACAATTTATGTTAACCTGACATGATGGCTGTATCCTAGAAGTACATATGTAATGTTTATAAAATTGGATAGTCAGCACTACAACCACATGTGTCGCTGCACGAAAATTGGGGTCTATCAGAAAAGTGTATCCGTATTCTGACGTGGCTATGTGGTATAATACTTCATTGCCACGCAAAATGATAGGTTTGGATTCCTGTTGGGTACTTACATTTATTGTTTGCATTCGATTGTCTGATCAACACTTGCTTCTGCAGCTATTAGGGGCGAAGTTCCTGAAGCCGTGGGTCGTGCGTCCCTGATGCATGCAGAATTAATAGTAGTAGTAGGAAGCCAACTCTCGTTTAGTCCTTGGAATGTCCACTGGATGGCGGTTATTGCATATGATGAATAAGTGATGAAAAGATGCGAGATGGCGGTACTTGGAGTGTTCACTAGATGGACGGACGGACGGAGAGACAAGCAGGCAGACGGACGGACGGACAGACAGACGCACGGATGGACGGAAGCGAGGGCGGACTGACGGACGCCTCACCCCACTCATCATCCTTCACTCCATGTATATGCCGTTATTTTTTTTTCTTAAAGCTGAATCGTTTAAGTTATCCATGTGTGTTCTCGCCATTGCTGGGTATATATAAAATGCCTATCACCTGTGGCACATACCCGCACACCATTGGCCCATACCCACGCCCGGGTATGTGCCACTGTTTTTTGAAAGTGTTAGACAACGTAAGCGAAGACATTGTCCCATTATTCATTTCATGACCAGCGAATCGTATGCATCCAATCATCTTACCCTGCCGTACTAATTTTGGTGTAGCCCAAGTTAACGAGGTGATCATGAGAACACCCAAACGAAGACGGATAGATAGAAAGATAGATAGATAGATAGATAGATAGATAGATAGATAGATAGATAGATAGATAGATAGATAGATAGATAGATAGATGCCAAAAGGGCTTGCAGTATGCAAATAAACGCTTCTCATTAAAGAAAATTTAACCGTCATTCCGCCCTGAGATCGTAAATGTACAGCGAACGTAAATGTCGTTGAATGCTCCAACCCATTGCAAAAACTTCAGGCATAATTCTTTATCGTCGCCAGCCACAGCATCAACAAAGTGTACATAATGCCCTACAAGTGTGTAGCGAGTACCACGAGTGGGAGCATCCCTACTTTACAAAAATTATGATTATTTATGGCGTAGTGGGTGTTATGCAAGCGTGGCTGTGGTAGCTGCCACAAGGGAGTTAAGATGAAACTCCAGAAAGGCCGCTCTTGTAGTTTTCGCTGCGACTCTGCTGAACATTCTGCGCAAGCCTGTTATTTCTTAAATGCAGCGCAATTTATTGTCGCACCCACTTCACGAGCACGGGCTGATATTGAACGCCTACGTAGTGAGAGAAATCAAGCACAATGTTTTTCATCCTATTCGTTTTTTTTTTGTTTCAATCTTTATTTACAGCTTAAATAGAAGTTTAGCTGAAAGTCAAGCGTCCAGCATCCTCGTTAGCAATACGAGATGACGCACTTGCTTGCCGCGCGCACTGACACATGGCCGGCGGCGGTAAAAGAGCGGGGACCTCCATGGAGACTTGCCGATGATAATGCCGCTGCTGCTGCTGTTTCTTGTGCTACTGATGTCGCCGATGGTCGGATGCCGTCGCTTGTTGACGGTAACTGATGCGTTTCACTTGGTGGCTGATGGCGGTAATTTGTGAAGCGGGCGGAGGAGAGCCGGGGAATGGCATTCGGAGATTCAATCGCTCCCCTCCTATTTCGTTTTTTTTTTTCGCGCCCATGACGTGGCGTGTTCGTGGCAGGCAGCGCAAGTCGAGGTCCAGATGAGACGTTCCCGCCGTATGGTACGTGGGAGCATCGACGTCACTGTTGACGACGGGTAGCCCTCTACAAAATGTTCCGTATGTACACACACACATGCACACGCACATCCAGGCACACACACACACGAAGGAGAAGTGGCGAAGCGATGCGATTGTCCCGGGCGTATCACAAGAGGGCGGCGCACATACTCGCAGGCTGCTCCAAGCGTGATGGGCAAACAAACACGCGCGAGAGAAGAGCCCACCCGCCCCCACAAACACTCGCACACCCGCGGGTTCAGCTGTTTTTTTGTTGGCCCTCAAAGAACCTGGAACTTCCATGGAGCACCGCTCGCCTTTTCACCCGCCGACGAGGCGCCGTACTCCAGGCAGTCGCCAGAAGGAGGCGTCCGCGTACTCAACACCCCGGGTCGGTCTTGATGGTGAGACGTCGGGTGCGGACCCTGCAGGGAGGAGGCGTGCGGCGGAGGCGGCGGCGTCTGGTGCATCTGGCCGCTCAGGTAGTCCATGCCGGTGTAGTAGTGCGGCGACCCGTAGGGTCCCGCGGGGGCGTAGCAACTTCCGGTCTGGAGCGTGTGAGGCGGCCCGTGCTGAGACACGCCGGTCGACAGGCCGCCCTGGCCCACGGACACGGAGGGTCCTTGGACGACGTGAGAAGGGGCGGACGTGGCGGAGCCCGTGTGGTAGGGGGACCGCTGGTGGGCCACGTTCATGAGTTCGGCCACGGCTGGACTGATGGCCGCGGGACTCCAGATGGCGCTCGCCTGTTGGTGGAGCGGCGAGGCGGCGGCGCTAGCCAGCGGGGAGGAGGCGACCAGCGCCGAAGGCTTGTACGGGGACTCGCCCCGATTCGACGACGTCGGGCTGGAGGACGGCGCGGGACTCTTGGCCTTCTTGGGTCGGGGCTTGGAGGAAGCGGAGCCGTTCTGCTGCTGTTGCTGCTGCTGGCGGCACTTGGCGCGACGGTTCTTGAACCACACCTGCGAGTGCACAGGCGAAGGATCAGAATATAATAATAATAATAATAATAATAATAATAATAATAATAATAATAATAATAATAATAATAAGTGCCCCATGAAGCACAGTGACATAAGAGCCACAAAAAAAGCTGTCATGAACAGCTTGCATGAACTTTCTGTTGGGCTAGTGGTTGGTATACCATTTTGAAAATTCAGCGGATCTTGGCCCTCTCTCACGTAAGAACTCACTACGTTGCTTGTGGCGTGCGATTGAGTGTGTGCATGTGTCTGAATGAGAGAGAGCGTACCAAGTGGCGCCTCATTTTCGAGATAAAACAGCTTCACCAAGCCGGAGCCCCTTAATTCAAGGCGAAAGCGACAGACACCTGAAATCAAATCACCACAAACGTACAGATTCCTGTAACAAAAGAAAAAGCTCAGTACATAGCAAAGCATACAAGAAAGAAGCAGAATATGGAAGCGAATAATGACTGACAAAAAACACCGAGTTTTATGGCGAAGGATAAAATACATGTATTGTTATTGAGTAGGTTATACTGTACAAAGTCCGTTCATATTTAGAACGATCAACAGCACGCTTATTATGATTATGCTCTAACGGGTTTGAGACCCCCCAAGGCACAAGTATGTTGCGTGGCGTTTTATTTTGAAAATCTACATCCTGAGTACGCCATTTTGCAAGTTGATAGATCTCAGGTAGTTTAGGTCCGCAGTTCTCGTCCTGTATTTTGTGTATGGACTGAAAAACAAATATTTTCAGTTTGTGGCGCATAAACAGTCACAGAATGCAAGACACACATGTTTGCCTGCGCGAAAATGTGTGTTTTTTTTTGAAGAATTCACTCGTCTGCAGTTTGGCCCTGTTCACACATCTGGCAGTTGGCAGACTTCAATCAGATAACCACAACTTCAATGTTACATGTTATGCAAGACTATAAGAGAGCACACCGCTGACCATTTCGAATATGTAGAGGAAACAAAAGCGTTACTTAAAAAGGTAATAAATGGCGTTTAGATGCAAAGATTGTAATTGCTGCTCGCAAAGCAAAAAAGAAATAACAATACCAGATAGAGACTGCACCAATGACGAACACAGAATAGTTGGTCCGCACAACACGGCGCACACTGGCTGTTTTAATACCGTAACAAGTCTATTTGCAAAGTGCATGTTAACAGACCACGCAAGACGCAGACTAGCAACTCGTATAACTATCGTTCACTATGCTTTGTGTAAGGTTCGCTTGCGTCATCAATAATTTCCAAATTTCTATCAGCACTGATTACATGTTCACTTTCTCTTCGATATTCAGCGTCATATATGCACCAGGCTTCTTTTTAGCTGCTGCCAAGCATATTTGTCGTACTCACTCTACCAAGTCTTGGGTATTTCTGTCCATCTCAATGGTATGTATGTTGGATTCGGATTCATTCCAATCAACGAAAGGAAAAGACACATTGGATAAAGCTTACACGATCGATCGATAAGACCAAGTTGCTTTTTATCGCTGCAGTGCTGTAGGAATTCGCACACTCACTCTAGTCAAGTCGACAAATTCGTTTGGAAAATGCGATAATAGCCAGGTGTTACCGGAAGTAGCAATGCACGGAAGCCTTCTTAATTGTAGCCAATAAAAAGGTGGTCAACAAGGGAATGACAAACTGCGCTACCAATGATACGGCTGCGATCACTTGTGCGAATGAGTATGTTTCTTTATATCTCAGAAACGCAGACAGTTCTGAGAGCAATTTAAATGACGTCAAAGCTGTCTACGATATCCAGCCGGCTGTAGGCAGGTGGACGTGAACGGAAACGAGCAATGTACCACGACGGCAACGTTAATTCATTAAGACTGTCACCTGCCAACGGGCACGCGTTATCTTTGACACCTATGTTAGATAACGAGGAGCGGTGCTTGGGGAGTTGAAGAAATGACAAATTTCGTTGACCGGACGTCATAGCAAAGCAAATAGCAGGCAGCGTCATAGCAGGTAGCAAATATAAAAATTATAGCATACATAAAAATTTGTTTGTAATAAAATTGTGCAATTACCAATTTACCTTCACATACTGCCCTCTAACTTCAAATACGGCTTAGTCCGTTAACGCTCAAGGGGCTTGATTGATTGATTGATATGTGGGGTTTAACGTCCCAAAACCACCATATGATTATGAGAGACGCCGTAGTGGAGGGCTTCGGAAATTTCGACCACCTGGGGTTCTTTAACGTGCACCCAAATCTGAGTACACGGGCCTACAACATTTCCGCCTCCATCGGAAATGCAGCCGCCGCAGCCGGGATTTGAACCCGCGACCTGCGGGTCAGCAGCCGAGTACCTTAGCCACTAGACCACCGCGGTGGGGCAACGCTCAAGGGGCAACTGAAATTTTACCAGGTATTGTATCTCCAAAGATTACCCTGAAGTGAGACGTTCTTCAATAAGTATTTGCCTGCGCTGACAAAATGTTTGCGCACATAGGGAACATCCACACATTTCAAAACTCATTTAGGTTATGGTTTTGATTTCTTTCTATAGCACGACGAACCAATCGAAAACCAGTAAGTGACAGCGGGTGACTTATCGATACATAACTAGAATAACATCCCACGTAATTCCGACAAGTGCTTTCGGACTTTATAGTACTTCAGTCTCCCGATCCAAGTCTGTGTCGGCCAAAGAGCGAGGAACACCGGACAACGCCCGGGCAATAGCCGATCGAACCACCGGTTAATTCACTTGGAAGCGCATGCCGCCGACTTCAAAAGCTTATACGCACGCCCATAACACTCAGCACACGAGCGATGTTCACGCTTCATCGCGCACGAAACGTCGACCGAGCGAGAAAAAAAAAAAAGCGCATGGAGCCGACGCCGTGGGGGTCACACCCACTCTATAGTATATATACCTCCACTACACTGCTCGTTCCAAAGCGTGTAGCAGTACATCGACAATCGGCCTCCTTGGTGGGCCGTTCTTATGTGCCTTCCGGCGGGGCGTTAAAAGGTTTATTCCACTGGTCCACTCGTGACCTCAGGAAAAAAGGGGGACACGACACCACCACACATAGGTCGCACACATCGCAGAACGTCACAGACAAACGCGTCGGAACTCTCTTGAACTTTGCCGCCCAAACTCCTCCCGGACTATGGCACAGTTCACGGAGCACAAAAACAGCGGCGGTATGCTCTGTTCCGCGGGCGGTTAAGTGAAGTGAAACCGAACCGGCCGCCGCCGACGAATAGAGACCTTCCTCACTTTGCATTAAGCGCTGCGGTTTTAGCTGGGCGCGAGACCTTACAAGGAAGTTAGGAGAGGGCAGTTCCCTGCCGGGTCTCTTGGTAGGACGTGCTTGCTTGGCCACGCAGAAAGCCTACCTCTAGGCATCGCCGCGAGGGGAGGGGTGAGTACGAGGGACAATAGAATGCGACATATGTCCCTCCCTCTCTACATGTCGCCCCCCCCCCCCCCGGCCTTTGTAGCTGTTACAGTTTCAGCGCCTCCCCCCTGGCCACCTCCGATTCCGTGTCCTCGCCTAACGCACTCCTTGATGGCAGGACGCCGATAACACCCCGCAAACATCCCCGATGCCGCGCAAATGCTGGCAAGCGCGGTGGCCGTGGGATCAGCGAGGACCACGCGATACAGTGGCTGGCCACCGATGCGGGCACAGAAGGTATCGCGGGGAGCGGGCGTCTTCGTGTGTGTTTGTGTGTGTGAGCAACGCGAACGAAGCTTTCGAAGCGCGCAAAAGGACGCGCCGGCGCTGGTTCTGCTCCCGATCGGCACTTTTTAGTTTAAACGACACAAAAAAGTACACAGGAAGGCGGGTGGGGAAGGAGAGGGTGTTCGGGCTGCGAAGCTCACGCTGCTTGAGTAAACAGAAAAAGAGGTTTCTTTTGAGAGGTAAAAGTGACGGTTCTGGCTCTTCTTCGTCATCCCGCACACCTCGCCGTGACGACTGTGGGGCACGTTGCGAAGCGGTTTACTAAAGGAGACTGGCTGCAAGCGGGAGATAGTAGGTGTCCCCGCGCATACAAGACTCCGGGAGGGTTCGGCTCGCGGCGCAGGCGGCGGTCTTTTGACGCTCCTGGGTCCGGCGGAAGTGTGTTGAAGTTGAGAGAGGGGACACAGGGAATGAGGGATCCAGGGGTGGTAGTCGGCGCTAAGTCGTTATTCGCAAGAAGTCCTGCCGTTTTGTATAGTGCCAAGCTCTTACTGCCGCTGCTCTTGTCTTCTACTCAGTGAAACGACTTTCCGTTCCCGAACATCATTTACTGATTTTTTTTTTCCCTGCCCGGGAGTATACAGTGTGCTGTAGCGCCGAGGCAAAGAGCGTGCTTGGCGAGTGTGGCGTGAGACGCGTTGCACTCGCCTTCCGCTTTACGGATAAAATTAAACGAGCCTACTAGTTTCTCTCTGAAACGGTTCGAAATTTCACCTTCTAGTCTGCAGACGGTGACAACCTGAGAATACGGGAGCAAGTGACCGACTGCGTGGTCAAAGGGCTCAGTCAGCGAAGAGGCTCCCCTATCTGAGCCGTAACAGAGAATTAATAGACATATTTACACGCAGACGCGCTTTCCTGAAATCATTCAATGACCCCTCCCCCCCCTTCTGTGCCTACGCGATAGTGTGTGTAGCATTAAACAGTTTGTGTGCTAGGGCCCCCAGTTTTGCTCAGAAAGTCGTTAGGCGGTGCGCAGATGAGTGGGCGTCTATGGTGCACGAGGTTTCAGCACAATAGTTCTTCCCGATGTGCTCAGGGGTAGTGTGGAAAACAGCTGGTTCGGCACCTATGCACTGCTTCCCGAGACACGCATAACTGATCAACCTTTTCTTGGATAGTCGAACTAAAAAGCGTAGGAGATGCACAAATCTGGCAATAATTTACCGAGTATTCCAGAATTACCACACTTGCCTGTGGTAAACGACACGTCTGTCCAGCAGAGCTTCAACATGGAGTAGTCGGTGAGGCATGTTAATGCAGTTGCGCTGAAGCACAACGGACAGGCGATAAATAGAACCACCGTATGCTCAAAGTGGATTCGGGCACACGCGTTGGCCACGAAGAAACGCCAGAAACGTTGAGCGAGTTTGTGAAAACTTTGTGTGATGAGTGCGTACGCAGGCGAAGTAAACCCTGCATTTTGTGCACGCCGAAGAATAACAGGCAAGAAAAGAACTCCTGAAGGGTGCGAATGAAGAAGACAAATGAACGGCAAAGGCAGCCACAACGGCCCGGTCACAACGTCGCGCAGTCTATTATACAGTCATCACTGCCGATGCATTCGCGACTCTCGGTAAAAAACACTCCGTAATGGGCATCGTTACGAGCATTACCGATGGCAATGTTGAAAAGCCTACCCAATGCACGGACTCGAGTCTTTCAATGAGCACTAGAGAATTGAATATTTTTAACGACCACACGAAGATGTCCCATATTCAGCATTAAGTGCAGAGCTCCCTCGCCCAAAACGACGTCTTGTCTATTAGGAAGCGTAGTCAAAGTGACAGTGGAGGGGGAGGGGGCATCGTCAAAACACTCCCCCAGAAATTTTCTCAGAGCTGCATTTTCCCCTCTCCCACTCTTTCTGAGAAAGTATACGACCTCCACGAACCGAGCCATCGGAGTCCTCTGTGCAGTCAAATTTTCGTGTAAATATAAGACACAGACCGAAACAACTAATTATCAAGAAAATTACCATTAAAATATATTGTTTGTGTGCACAATCTTATTAATTTTTACTGCATAACACTCCCTCCTCATTCGAAACGTCACTGCTAGCTACATCACTGGTGCTTATACCAGCCCATTGTACTTCCGAAGTTGGAGCGGTCCAGGCGTGCAGCTTTCTACTACATGTTTGGTTGCGGCAAATTTTTATAACTTCTTTCTTTCTCAGTATACATATTTATGTGCCTGCCAGCCTTTCGGGCACTTAGGGGCTTTCGCTTGAACAAAGCTGACCCTTTAGAAAAGCTGTTATCAATTCTCATTTACTTTGTTACATCAATGTGCAGTGTGGTTTCACACAGAGGCTACTATAGCTCGGCGAATACGCAGTTACCAATTCTCATTTACTTTGTTACAACAATGCGCAGTCTAGTTTGAACCAGAGGCAACTATAGCTCGGCGAATACGCGGATATACAGCAAGAAATACGCCCTTAACTTCGAAACCGACAGGTGGTCGCACCGGAAATGCCACAGAGCGATACGGTCTAGACCATCTGTATGGGAAAAATAGCTAACGACCACCTTGCTTTTTTTTTTTTTACAGAGGCGTCGCTTTGTGTATTTTGCTCCCATGTATTTTACAAAAAGAAAAAAAACACAACGCCCACTCCCTTGGACTGCCATGAATCGCGGCCGCGACCTTGCACGCGAACACCAGCACCGTCAACGGTAGCCTGACGGCACTTTTAAGAAACGTCGGCCTACATGTATGCAGACACGAGAGATTATATCTGGCGCGCGGTATATCCTATACGTGAGTGGATATATAGTTACAAGAACTGCCCACAACCACCGTATTCAACCGAGCTGCCCCTTGCGTACAGCTTTCCTTGCTTCTGTTTGAGTTGCACGTATCCACCACGACGGGGCGCCACTGCCGCGCTTCGAACGACCCTGCGACAGAGTGGCATGCGGTCGTCATGTTCGCACGGGCTCTCTCGTCTGAGTGAGTGTGCAGGATCGGGTGTCTCTCGACGACTGGCTCTCAGCACGCATTGTGTCGAGTAGGGCACCATCTCGTGCTCTTCCGACCCACTCGCCCGCAGCGTTTTTACTCGGTGTTCACCCATGCCGCGTGTCGGCAAGACACGAACGCGGGGAGGATCGAGGCCATTTGCATGACACAGAGCGAGCCACCCGGAGGAAAAAATGTCACCCCCCCTGTGCACACCACTGCGTGCGTGTGCGCCTGAGGGAGTCGTCGGTCGTTCCCTGCCTGTAATTGAAACCGGAATATGTCTGTGTCCATGCGTCTGTGAGTGCGTGAATGAGCTGTTACAGCCGACGACAAACCGCCACCCAGCGGCCTAGAACGTTCACGCTTATCCACGCTGCGGCTATGGGACACAACGGCTCGGCGGCAGTGCGTACGAAGGCACCGTGCCTGGGGTGCAAGCCTGGCTTCCGGACTCTCCCTACGTGCGCGCAGAGCTCACACCGGAACGATGCCGGCGAAAGCCGTAGCGCGGCGCTGGCGTGGTTTAACGTGAAGACCGCTCACGCCTCTCCGCCCAGCTGGTCGGGGTGGGGGAGCGGGCTGCGAGGCTCGTGTCGCGCCCCTCTCATGAATAGCCGATTAGTATTTTTTCTCGCGGGCTGCTTTGGCCGCCAAATCACCACGGAAAATTTCGGGGTGTGATTTCAGGGGATTAGGCTGGAGCGTGATGCGGTCGCGCGAGGAACTCCTGTGGGAAGAATCGCAGCTGGCGGACCTCTGCAGTGGCTATTTTCGGGAACCTAGGTTAGAATAATTGTTAAGTTCGTTGTAAGTCGTTATTAGAGATGCCATGCTAGGTCAATTCGCACCAGCTAGCTCAACTCGCTCTTCCAATCTTGTCATGTAAGCCACGGCCCACTTGTCAATAAGGCTTTTGTAGGTTGCTGTCATTTTCTGACATTTTTTTTTTTCCGGTGGAGCAGTTATGCGCTAGTTTTTGATCGATCGCTGTGTACGAAGGCCTACTGCGGAGGCGCGCGCCTGTCGCGGCTGCTGCCCGATGGTGCGACAGCATATAAAACACCCTTGGCAGGACAGCATGTAAAGTTGACATTAACAATTGTACAGGTCAAGGAAATGCTTGATTCTAGCACACACCGCATAGAAGGCAGAGCGAACAGTGTCGGAAGGACGGCCAGAAAGGCCGCCGTGAAACACATCCCAGTTGTTTCGGCAGACGGAAGTATGAGTCTTGTGACCATAGGTGCAAACATAGAGATCACGGGAGAATAATCAGGATATAAGTGTCTAGATCGCTGCCCTAATCCTACGTATGGAAAGGTGCGCGAGAGAGTAGGTGTTCTGATAAAGGCTATCGGCAACAAGCGCTAGCTGCGCGGCTGTCATAGCTGCGGTCCCGCGTGTAGTATTTTTTATTGTACGAATACAACCAAGGTGTTTGGCTTCAGTGTGTTCTGATCTGTTTTTGCTCACAATTTTCCGAAGGTGTTACACAGCCGTATGCCGGATCGCGGAACGACCACGACTATGTTCGCCTAATGCAGCACTCGCTGGCACCTCTTGGAGCGCCGAGATCAGAGAATAACTCCCTTATCCACAAGACTATGTCAATGTCCTGTTATATTACACGTGTTCATCCAGGTGTACAGAAGAGAGCTTTAGTTTGTCCGCAAACCACCTTGTGCTGGCCTTACACCAGATCTCACTCGGTACACCATATACTGTAGGCGTAAACGCGAAAGGCCGGATTGGTGGCGTCATCTGGCGAGATCGAGATGAACTGGACAAGCATATAATTTTTTCCTGCATAAACCTATCGTTTTCTGCCCATCTGCTGATCTGAACTGTCGGCAGCGGCCTAATAAATAAGAAGTTGTCCTTGAAGCATCGTTTTCACGAAAGTGCACCAGAGAAGAACAAACGACTATCGAGCGAAGCGTCGCAAAATGTCGATACCGTCATTCGGCAACACATCAATTCCTAAACACGTCTGCTTGTGCTATAACACCGAAGGACCTAACGTAGGGGACATAAGGCTCACGCTCACCTGAACCCTGGACTCCGGAAGGCTGATCTTGAGCGCCACCTCTTCACGCATGAAGATGTCAGGGTAGCGGGTCTTGCTGAACAACGCCTCGAGCACATCCAGCTGGGCCCGCGTAAACGTTGTTCGTTCGCGCCGCTGCTTGCGGGGAGCTGGTCCTGACGCTGCAAAGACCGAACGAGAAACAGGACCATTAGTAATGTACGTGCATTAAAATACCCTGAAATTGTTTCAACGACTTCTTTTACAAACTCAACTGATAGCGTAGGTACTGCGTATCTATATAAGTGCCCCTCCCCCCTTAAGTTTGTAGTTATGTTTTGTATCGATAAAGAATTCAACGAGCTGCCCAACGGAATTTTAAGCCACCCTTGTTTTGGGACGTCACTTGTCTGAAATAGCTCATTGGCTTCTCATTATTGTACACCAAAGAAAAAATCAGGTGTTTGGGTAGTACTTACGCCACCCAATTATAATCTTCATCCGGCTTGCTCACGTTTTTTTCTTGAAAACCCAGTCCCGGTTCTCGCCATGTTCCTACCAAGAATGCTATGTCACGCTCATATCACGCAAGGTGTTTGTGACCTAGAAGTGCCCAGACAGCTATGATAACGTATGGAGAGTAGGCTAAGTAGATTACAATTGTAGTGTGGCTTCAACAGACTCTGTTATGAAGGTATCTGCTAGAACGGACGCTATAGGATCTGTCTTTGAGCATCGCTCGAGGATATGCGTACTGAATTTGCTTGGACGTCTTCTTGCGTCAACAAGCATTGCTAAGAACGTTGTTGGTCATTCCAGTGCGAAATGAAAGATTTTGGGAATGCCACCGATAGTCATAGGCGACACAGCAGAGTCCAGTTGGTACACATACATTCATCAAACATCAAGACAGGTGGGGTTGACGACTGGTCCAGGTCGTGTGGCCGATTGTTGTGCACCAGTGAGAGCATGATTTGTGCAAGCACCCAAAGTATGCTGGCAGCAGAAGACTTTAGAAGTGCTATGCTTTCTTCTTAGCTTTGTGCCTTCACGAGCTGCCCGTAGTTCTTAAGGCGAAACAGTTAGATGACTCAAGGCAAAATGACTGTCAATGGCTCAACGCGAGGGATGCGAAATCCAATTGTAAGAACTCATGCAAAAGAAATCACGTCATGACGTCCTCATATGACGTAAACATGACGTAAAAATCACCGAATCAGGACGTCATCATTACGTCACATGGCGTATTCACTTGACAATGTCCCTTCATCAAAGGTGCACCGATAATGAATGCAATGCAAAACCTGCTGTAGTGCTCAAAGCTTCAGTGTGCCAAACTAGGAGAAAGTGAAGTTTGTTTGCACCCTTCGAGTCATCCTAAACCGTCGCATGAGGGACACTAGGTGTTTTTTCCTTCGTAAGTGGGTGAAACCTTGGGTGCTGTTCTGGACATTGTCGAATTCCGCCATGGCGTCAGATTTCGCTATTGATCGGTGCTAATTGGCCAAGTGAGCTGCTACGACCTCTATGATTGCATTAAAATTCCGCCAATACAAAATTGCACAATATAGCGGAATTAGACAGTGTGTAGAAGAGCAACCCCTGTCTTCATGATCAACAATATCCGATACAGCGCGCCCCGCTGAAGTTATGGCACTGCAGCGCATCACATTTTACATTTCCGTCATGATTTCCGCGCACTAAAGGGACACTACAGTGAAATCATAATTAACGTCAGAGTGAAAGCTCAATGTATGACATCTAAGACGACAATATTATCAACAACAGGGCCCTACTTACCGAGAAATTAAGGCAAATGCACGAGAACACATGCGCCACAGTAAGACATTTTCAAAATGACCCCGATGACATCAGACGGCCCACCTACAATTAATCCATAGTAATCAATCTAGCTGTACTAAATAAAGAACCTTCCGTACACCAAGAAGCGCAATAAAATGCTGCTTGTTAGTTTCTGTTTGATTCGTGGAAAAAAGAACCGCTGGACGTTACTATGGGGAATGGCACGACTGGTTAAAAATTCAATTTTCGAGTGATTACACGGGACATGTGATGGCATTTAGTGGGGCGCAGTTGAACAAAAAAAAAAAAAAAACGTCTGCAATCTCGAAGCAAATGGCGGGAAATTGATCAATGGCCGTTGTTGCTGCTGTGACGCCCACTGCTTTCTGTCTGCTGCTTCTAGCGCAGTAAAGCCGGGCAACGTTGTGCACGGCAACAGTGACGTCAGTTGGTTCGGTCGTAACTTAGAAGTGTGGCAGCTTGGGCTAGTTGGTATGGCATTACGATAGTTATAGCGCAAGAACAAAACGACGACACAGAGACAAGAAGGACACGGAGACAAGAAGGACACGAAAGACACGAGCGCCTCCTTGTCTCTGCGTCGTCGTTTTGTTCTCGCGCTATAATTATCGTTGGTTCGGTCGGTCCGCTTCTTGAGGCGGGTAATTCTAAGTGCGCTAACCCGATGCGGAGCACTAAAACGTGATTTCGTTTCAAAATAGGCCCTTCCTTGGCACAAAAAGTAACACTGCGAGGTTTCTGGACCGCCATTTCCACAATCAGCGTCGACCTAATAGTCGTCTTTAGTGTCCTCTTAAAGTGACAAAGCGCGCTAAACAAGTAAGGGTCTCAGTTTCCAGGGTCGCAGTTGCACAAAAGCGCCTATGGGTGGCGCCCCGTGCTCGCAAGGCGCGCGTCTGCGGACAATGCGCCGCTGCGCGCCCACCGTTGCGCAGCGCCACGCATCGGCGATGAGCGCGTGCGCGTCCTCACACAGCCGCAGCGGGGCTTGGCTCGGCTCGGCCGCGGCAGGCAAGGTAGCCAGCTGCGAGTACGGCGTTGCGCCGTCGTCTGTGCCACTGCGGCGAGTCCCCGCGGGGTTCCTTTCATCTCGGCCGCCATCTCGCGCGTGCAGCAAGCAGGTTGCGTAAACTATGCGACACAGCGGCGGCGGACACTCGCCCGCTTGCTCTAGCGCTCCCACAGCCCGAGCGGCGGCCGACCAGTCTTCTTCCGTGGAAGAGCAAGAAAAGATAACGAACTTCAACAAAATCGAAGAAAGAACTAGCTCGCACTTGTCCTCGTCTTTACGGCGTGCGAGACAAAAAAAAAAAAGAACTACAAAACTCTCAAAAAGAAGACCTTGCAGTCTTCCTCGATTGCAGCGAGTCTTTCACAGCGGTGGATTCCTGCCTCACAGCAAGAACGAAAGAGAACGATGCAAAGCGGGCCGCGATCGAAAAGAAAGAAAATGCGAAGACGATCCTATTAGAGCCGAAGAGTTACGATGCTCACTGAGGAGCGCTCGGGTGAAGGAAAAAACAAGGATAAGCAAATACTCGCGTGCACCGTGTTTGCGCTTCCGATATTGTCTTGTATTTGTCTAATCTTTCGTTTCTTCTTTAAGTAGTGTTTTTTTGTTTTTTTGCAGGAGCGTGTCGGAACGGTTTTTGCCCGATTTGCTCGGTTTGGGTTCGCTGTAGTGTGCGTGTGCCCGTTGCACGTGCTGTGGACTTCCGCAGTCTTGAGACCTTGTTTCTCATCTCTCCTTGCTTAGGTAACTAAACGACATCTGTTTCAGCGACATTTGGTTCCGTCAAATAAACCTGGTGGCTCGCTCTTTTTCATCTACTTTAGGCCAACGCGCGGTTATTCGCGAACATCAGTGCGCGGCGTGCTTCGTCATGGCTGCTTTCATTTTTAAATGTGCTGTTATTTTTACTTAGGTGTTGTTGCAGTTGACATGGGACGGAAGAAGTTTACCTGGGCAAGTCACTGAATGCATTGAAAGAATAACGTGAGAGAAGCTACACAGCAAAGCAATGGATAACAATGGGCTGGGAAACGCGCTCGAGGACGACGTGCGAATAGGATGGAACGGCAACATTGAAATTTCGTAGAGATCAAGTGCAGTCAGATAGCCGCAGACATGGCAAATTTGAGATGACCACCTGGGGTTCTTTAACGTGCACCCAAATCTGAGCAGAGGGGCCTGCAACGTTTCCGCCTCCATCGGAAATGCACCCGCCGCAGCCGGGATTCGATCCCGCGACCTGCGGGTCAGCAGCCGAGTACCTTAGCCACTAGGCCCCCACAGCGGGGTCAAATTTGAGATCGGTACGCTTTTAATCATGTCCCGCGTGATGCGCTGCTTATATGAAGGATCACAACGTTGTTGCTATAGTTTCCGGGGTATATCCAGCACTTTAAGCGGCAGATGTCTGTGTAGTGTAGTGAACATAGTGTCGGCAGATAATGATGAAGATCATAGATAGCCATTCAAGTACGGCGAGCGATATGAATGATATAAACTACTAAATAGATTCGCTCATTCCTTGCGAGTCGAGAGGCACCTAATCGTCCACCACTACGGTGGATGCACGTAAGTAAGGCTTTCATGTTTTGTTGTACTCTTCCTCTACCCTTGAAATCAGTATCGTTACTATAATGCATAATTATAACTTTATAGGCGCCGAATAGATAGTTCCTGCTCAACTTAGCCGCAAAACAGACAATATTCCACCGTGTGTGAATCGTTGTACAGAAATGATCAGCTGCTATGCCTTCTTCACGGGATTGCCTAACATTGCCAGGACTGAGACGGCTGAGTCAAGACCTCCATAAAGCTTATGGAAACCCCCAGACCTGTATTATCTGCGTCAAATGAAACCCGAACAGCGGCAAGCCTTCGTCATGGCATAGTGCACGCCGTCCAATCATCACCATGGACAGGCACGCACGCATATGTGCGCATATATATCATTGCATATATACCATCGCACATATACCATCGCACGCATATATACCATCGCAAAGGCTTGCCACTGTTCGGGTTTCAATTGACGCAGGTATATAGCACACAGGAAGTCTGTGACAACGCTGTCGTGACGAAACGTGAGCGATACTGGGCATTTCAACAGTCCAATATCAGAACGAAAATTCATTCTGAGAAGTGTTCCTTTGGGAAAGGCCGGCGAAGCTCCCGAGGTTCGTGGTTCTACACGTAGAACCTTGAGGGCACCGCAGGTTACCGTGAACGGCGCACGTGAATGTACTGCTTGTGCCGCCCCCATTCGGTTATACCCATATGTCCTTATTTAACCCTTATACCCTTACCTGTCAGTACAAACATGGAGCCGTCAAGGATTGATGTCATCAT